GGGGGGGGAGGGGGGCGTAGACTCCCACGGCGAGCGCCACAATCGTAGCGAGCGCGCCCGCGGGACCCGCCGACAACGGCTGCAGGTCACGCGAGAACCGTCGGACGCATGGAACGACGGACGGACGCACGCACGGACTGACGGGCAATAGAGAACAACGTGGCTCTAAAATCTCACTCAGCTGACCGGCGATCACGAGCCCCTGGCTCTCGGGGCTCCGCGTGTGAGGAGGCGGCACGCGGAGCCGTCGACCTTGTCCAGGCCATGGATGACCGGGAGCAGGCGCCCCCGCCCTCTTCGTCTTCTCTCTCCAGTGTCACCTGTTGTTCTCCGTCGCTCGCTTCACTCTGTTTTTCCTAATCAGGAGCACAGTGGAATGTTTCATTTGCTCGGCATCCTCTCTTTTGTCTCTGTTGCAAAGCATAATTTAAATAAATATATATTTAAAAGTGCCATCGCCACCTGTCCAAATTTCGACAGGATTTCCGTCGGTTCGCGATGGCTGTCTTGGGAAATATATAAATCTTGCTGCGACATTAAATATAAAATTTCCTATTTTTTTGGTGCATTGCATGTAGTTCTCTCCCCTCTTCTGGTATTGTGAGATATTCCATTTCCCGTGATATCTTCAGATTTTTGTTAGTTTGTATCTCAGAGGTGCCAACTTGTGTCCAAAATGAATGTGGGCAGGGCAATGATAGTTTTTTTTTTTATTCTCGTACATTTGTATGCTGCTGTCTTACAGTAAGAGGCAGCTTTGTAGCTGAAAGGTCAGAGGTCAGCACCGCTGAGATTCTGGGTATCAATCCGGATCTCCACCGCCAGCGATTGAACTGGGCTCCCGAGCGTAGACGGTTAATGGTCTCAGCCTGGTCACCGACGAGTGCCCTATTATCACATCGTGATATAACAAGTCATTCTTTCACCTCATGCTGCTATCGTAAATTTCGCTCCAGCCCCCCCCCACCCCCCCCCCCCGTGTCTAAGAAGAACCCCGATGCAAAACCGCCACCGGTGTCACATTTCGTCCCAACAATTTTCAACCGAATTATGAAAAAAAATAGAAAATTATAAGGGTGGGGAGGGGTTTCACCCAGCCCCCCCCCCCCTCCAGCCCTGCCCCCCACCGACCCTACGGTGCTGGTTCCCATGAAGACCGAACAGCCCAAACAACTTTGGCCTCTGCCCCTCGGCGCTGTGCCCCGGTGGGCGACGACGTCTCTGGGCCGGCGAGGCTGTAGGAGGAGGAGGAGGAGGCAGGTGTTGGTGTCACGGCGGAGGCGGAGAGGTCGGCGCCGCTGGTACAAAGCTCTTGGGGAAACCAGGCGGAGGTGGGTCAATTTAATTTAATGGAGCATGCAACGAATGCATTAGAGCTGGGGATGAGGCATGGCACGGGGTTGATGGCATTGCCCAGTGGCCTAATTGGGCAACCACCTCTTGAGATATGTCTCTGTATTCTAAGCGCGACTCTGATGCTGGGATCTCCACGTCGCGAGAGACACAGAAAAGCCGCTGACACTGTTGAGATGAGGCCTCCGCGTCCGCATAATTTGCTTTTCGTTTATATTTGAGATAAACTCAAAGCGCGAGGCTTCTCAATTCCAAAGACGACAGGGCGTTGACATAATTTGAACGAGCCGAAAGGCGACGCCGATCTGCGCGTGCCTGTCGGTCGCCAGGAGTGGTGGCTCACGCCTGCAATCCGGTGACTGGGAGGCAGGGTTGGCGGATTTAACACTCATATGGTGACAAGAGTCACAGCTCAAACACCAGGACGCTGAACCCAAATTGGGCCCTTTGAGTGGACGTCTGTGAAAAAGAGTTTCATGGCTCATCGAATTTCTCGAGGATGAATAAAAATTGTATTTCTGAAATACCGTACGACACTTTACTCCACCCAGCAGGGTGGCTCAGAGGTCGGAGCGCTGAGCTGGCAACGCTGCGATCCTGGATCTTGGTTTCAGCCGGGTTTTCAAGTGAAGTGAGCTGATGTGCTCAGGCCGGTCACCAATAACTGCAAAGAGAACGACTAAGAACCCCCGCATTAAGACTGTAGGCGGCAAAGCTGTTAGTGAGCACCTATGAAGATCGACATGGCACACGAGGGCGTGGGTGGCCAGTACCATGCCCGATCGCCTTTGTCTCCCCAGCAGCGATGTTCAAACATCACACCAGGTACTCATTTGAGATTGTGTCGACCTAGAGGAGGCCCAGGACCGGTTCAGATAATCGTCACTTATGTTGGCCCTGATCGGGAATCGAATTCGGGTCACCGGGTTTGTAGCAAAGCACGCTATCCCGCCGCACTATCGCTCCCCACTGATAACCAACAACTGCACACACACACTCTGGTTCAGTAGGGTTTGACGCTCAATTTGGAAAAATTCCAGCTGTGAAAATAATTTTAAAAAATGTGTGGCTGCCTTATGACAATGTCTTCTCTGTATGTAGGGTGTACAAGAGAGTGCTGCCCGCTTTAGTGGATGGATAAAATAAGTCGCTTAACTGGATCTCAGAAGTAGTTCTGGCATATCTCCTTCCACGGACCGTACTCGATCGCAGGGCGGTGTGCTGCTGTGCCCGTTCGGGGTTTGCGTTGTCTCGCGACACGACACCGATAGTACAATTGGACAAAACTAAATTACATGTTGCTTTAATCAGGGATGTAGGTTGATTTGAATGAAGAAAAATCCTGTGCTCTGAAACGTGAAATTCAGGCATATTTGGCAATTTAAGTCGCATGATAGATGCATTCTCTTTATCGTTAGCGTTACGTAAATAACTCTTTACACAAGCAGTTTTTTTATTACGGTATTATTTTTATTGCTCGTGGTGAGCGCGAACTGTAACCATCCCAAGACAATCAACATCATCATTACCATCATCATCATCGTCGTCGGCCATGGCCAATCCAAGCTCCTGTCGTCTCTCACAGTCCTACAGTGTAATAGATTGATCCCCAGGCAACATGGGAAGAAATACATTTTCATCGCTGTCATTCGTACCTCCCAGGTGTTCACAACGGCCCAAGCCTGATAGCCTGATGTGTAATTGAACCATGAAATTGTCAAATAATTGGCTGACGGGAGCAAGATTGTGAACGAAAGTTAAATTGCTTCATCGAAACGGCAGGTTACGGTATAAGCCAGACCCCCCCCCCCCCCCCCCGCGAATCGCTCTCCACGTGACGCGTGGTGGATACCTCCAGCTGCGGCGGGCTGCGTTGGGCACACGGCTTCATTTCACCAGGGCCCCCCCCGCGGCTTCAGTTCACTCTCAGACTTTGTTTCAAGCTGGGTAAGGCCCCCTCCGCCCCCCCCCCTCCCATTGCGCTAAGCAGCTATATTACGAGAGGTGGCCGCAGAACCCAAGACATTGCGGGACATTTCCGAGCGTGGGAATGCGCAAATTGGTGGCCCACGGTGGACGGGGTAAGGGGCCTACCTCTTGGAAATGGCCCCGTAAGTGATATTAAATCGTCTGCAGTCCTCGAGAGGGATTTTTTTTCTGCACGCACGGTCACTTCCCTCGCCGCGAGGGCCTCGCTGCACGTTGGGTTGACACGCACCTTATATCTGCCTGATTATCTGACGACGCTGAGGTGTGTGTGCGTGTGTGATAATGTGGGGAGCGGTAGTGTAGTGGTTAGTGCGCGGCGCTACTAACCCGGCGACCCGAGTTCGATTTCCGCTCGCGGCCAACACCGGTGATAATTATCTGAACCGGTCCTGGGGCTCTTCTTGGTCGACTTGGCCTAAAATGAGTACCTGGTGCGGTGTGCAGTAAACATCGCCACTGGGAAGACAAAGGCTGCCGGGCGTGGTGCTGGCCACCCACCCCTCGTGTATCCTGCTGGCCTTTATAGGTGCTCACTAACAGCACTTGTCCCAACAGTCTGTTAAGGCTATATGGGGGATATTTGTCTTTGTTTGTGATAATGTGTGGTTGCTTTCACGGTCGTGAAGCGGTGAGCGTGCGTCTCTTCGAACGCGGCGACCCGAGTCCGACTCCCGCTCACGACCACCACCAGGTGAGGATTATCTGCACCGGTTCTGGGCCTCCCCTAGGTCGACTTGGCCTGAAATTAGTACCTGGTGCGATGTGTAAACATCGCCACTGGGAAGACAAAAGCTGCCGGGCGTGGTGCTTGCCCACCCCACCCCTCGTGTGCCGTGCTGGCCTTCATAGGTGCTACTCGCCAACAGCACTTGCCCCAACAGTCTCTTAAAGCTAGAGGAGGAGGGGGGGGGGGGATCTTTGTCTTGATCTCAGAAGGTCACCTGAATGGCCTGCCCGGGGCTGTGGGTTGCCCACGCACGTACCTCACCGGTCACGCTTCACCGTGGTGGTGCCAGCCCGCGGATGGCAGGGAGGCGGCCCGGAACAGAAATTATTTTTGGGCAGCTAAAAGCACGACACGACGGAACAAGCCACGTGATTGGGCTCTTTCACACTTGTGTGAAATAATGAAGGTCATAGAGGAATTGCACCGAAAATTATGTTAATAGTTTGAACAGAATGATTGTCTTTAAATATATGCATTTTTAAAGACGTGAATTTGTGGTGGTATTTTGCGCCGTTGTTTACCCCAGGCCCACCTTGAGCTTGTTGGGGCCTTCAGACTTTGCTTGTGGCTGGCGCCGCCACTGATGGTTTGACCAAACACGTTCCAGGTGCCCTTACCTGGGTACCCATTTCACCAGCAGATGCGCCGCTCGATCACAAAAATACGCGCGTTCACGCACACACACACACACGCGCGCTTTCACGCACACGCGTACACGCGCACGTACACACACACGCGCGCTTTCACGCACACGCGTACACACGCACGTACACACGCGTACACATGCACGTACACACGCACGTACACATGCACGTACACATGCACGTACACATGCACGTACACATGCACGTACACATGCACGTGCGTTCAAAAAACAAACACTCGCGTGTGGTTCAAACGGAATTGCCGATTGGTGGCGGTTGTGGTCCGGCACTGCGAACGTTCCCGCATCGCGATAACGAGCCGTGGGACACAGGGGGGTGGGCGGTGTGGGGTGCGAGTGGAGCGGCGGTGCAGGCGGCACTCATCCATCACGTCACCCGCACGGCGCGAGCCGGAACCCTGGCGGAGAGCGGCGATCAATCACGCGGAGTCCTGCGAGAGAGAGAGAGACGCTGGCTGAGCAAGTGGAGAACGGTGGCTTCTACTGGGTCCCCCCCCCCCTAAACTTACCTCTCCCCCTGTCCCCCCACCCTCCACCAACTCTGTCCCCCTAAGGAACGCGCCGCATCCCACGGTGACCACTTAGCCTAATTTCCAAGCGTGCTTCATAATTACGATTAGGTTGACGGCGAATTTGTTTGTTCTGTTTTCGCCGACCCGTTCGCGTTTCAATTAGCAAATGCGCGCGTTTAACAAACAACAACAAAACGGCGGACGCGTGCGTTTTTCCCTTCGTCAATGAAGACGACAAAACTCTCTGAATCTGATTGTATTTTATTTTTTTGTTCCGCTGCTGTTGCTGCTGCTCGAATGGAATGTGTCAAATGCCCAGATTCCCCACCTCCTCCTGCCCCAATTAGTTGCCCTGGTCCTAAATCCCCTATGATCTACGAGTTGCAGTGACGATACATCAATTGCGTTTCTGCGAAAAGTCACATCCACTGCTCGAGTGCCCGGGCAACACTTCTCCTTTAGCCGCTGACCCCAATTATCGCCGGCCCCTCGTGAACTTGAATTACAGTGGAAGGAAAAAAAACACCCCAAAGTCGCCTGGAGGGGAGGTCAGTCGCTCGTCCCCCCCCCCCCGGTGGTCTTGACGAGCAGCAGGAACAGCGAGGCCCCGGGGGGGCCTAAGAGTTCTGAGCGAGCTCGTACGCCCCCTCCCCACCACCCCCCCCCCCCGACTTGGAGGAGATGGCGCTCAAAGGATGAATCGAGATATGAACGGCGAATTCCGTCAGCTGGCAACCGGACGAAGATGGTTCACCCGCGTCCACGCGCGGCGCTTACAGATGCGCTTTCGCGGCCGTCTGGAACGCTCTTGCTTCAGATATTAGAAAGACAGTGGAGCCGTGCACTTGTAAATCTATATTGAAAACTTATTTCTTGAGAACTGCTTTTTGTGTTTAGTTTTTGTTGTCCTTCCCCCGCACCTCCGATTAGCACCGCTGACTATGTACGGTGCGATGGAGGTTCAACATACGTGTAACGACAACACCATTTCTAGAGCCGCAGCCATTACCATTTTTTTCAATTTTCGTAATTGCCTTTCACAATGTATACATTTTTTCACTTTGTTTATTTTTCCACTTCATTTAATTAACGATGAAGCAGAAAACACAAGCCAACAGTTTACCTGTCAGTCATAACCACAACTGTTTGCCGATTGAATATATTCGACTGATTTTGACGTGTTGGGAGTTTTACGGTTGTCTTGTCAAGATGACGTCGCATTTGTTAACGAGCTAAATGTCTAGAGCTTATTCATGTTGTTTGTCTTGCGTGCAACCCTTAAGTAATACGTTAAATTGTAAAAAAAAAAATGCGTTTTATATTTTATATAATTTACATGTGACAGTTCCTTGCTCACATTGGCACTTGACGTTAAGAAAGCGGCGTGTTCACGTCGGTTTCATTTTTTGGCGGCAAACGCGACGTCCGTCGTGCCAAGCAACACCACGGGTCCTGTGGTGTGCGTGGAGTTCGCTTGCCAATAACATCCGACAATCAGCGATGCAGCAAATTGTTTAGCAGGCCGCACTCTGCTGTTGAGACTGGGGGGGGGGGGGGGGAATTGGCTTCTTCTCAGCCAGACGTCTTGTTTATTGCATCGGGGTCGGCTGCTCGGATTTGATTCTCCATGAGCATCGGTGGCTAGGAGGTGTTAACTACCTCGCCTGGCATGCAGGAGGTCGAGGGTTCGATCTCGACCCTGATGCCTGCTGTATATTTGGAGTTTGTGTGTCTCATCATCATCACGTTGGCTAGGATATGTTAACTACCTCGCCTGGCATGCAGGAGGTCGAGGGTTCGATCCCGACCCTGATACCTGCTGTATATTTGGAGTTTGTGTGTGTCTCATCATCACGGTGGCTAGGAGATGTTAACTACCTCGCCTGGCATGCAGGAGGTCCTGCGTTCGATCCCAACCCTGACACCTGCTGTATATTTGTAGTTTGCATGTATTTCTCTCCCGGTAGCCACTTGAATTTTTCTCTGGGTCCTTCGGTTTTTCCCTCCACATTTAGAAAATGTGTTTAGAATTAACATGCGTTTATAGTATTTGGCAGGTATAAATGTTCACGTGATGAGCCACTTCGTTGAGCTATCATTTGTGGCCAGGTCGCTTCTAAAAAAAGAGCTCTATAGCTCAGTGGGCCTTACCTGGTAAAATTAACAATAGCTTAAGATAATTGTTTTTTTACCCTTCAATCTGGCAACAAAACTGACACCTTTTTTACAAGGAGTTATGTTTACATAGACCACAATACCTGCAGTCATAATGCAAACAAAAAACATAACTGTGATAATGGATGCACTGTCCTTGAAGTTGATTGGTCCACACCCGAGACAGCTTTCCTTAGAGCCTAGTCTCACATGGGTTGGACCAGATGACGCCAAAAGGCGCAGTCAATCAACTTCAAGGACAGTGCACATTATCAGAGCTATGTTTTTTGTTTGCATTATGACTGCAGGTATTGTGGTCTATGCAAACACGACTCCTTGTAAAAAAGGTGTCAGTTTTGTTGCCAGATAGAAGGGTAAAAAAACTATTATCATATTTTTACTGGCAAATGAGGTTCCAATGGAATAGCTTGAGAGTTTAGTTTTCTATTCTGTACCTCTTCTCTCGTCCCATCCACATTGTTCCTCATCTCTCGTTCCACCGCATCCTCCCCTCTCGCCCTTGGTCTCCCTCTCTACTTGTGACCTGCACCGGTTGCAACCCCACAGCCCTACTCATCTATGGATCTCCGTGCGAATCTACGGGTCTCTGTGTTTTGAGTGTATTTTGATTTGTTGCACGGACGATGGTCCCGTTTAGCCAGCTGCCAGGATATTTAACGAGGGACATCCGTGGTGTGCGCAAGCACAGCAGCAACAAGTCTGTGGGCCTCTTGTGAGCCTAAGTGTCTCTGTGTGAGTCTGTGGCTTTCTAATCTCCATGGCTCTTCTAATTGCACCTTCTTGGTCTCTTTTTGCCACAAGCCCAAACCCGCTACGTCTCGCCTCCCTTACCCTCCCGGCGATATGACTAACCCCCGCTATGGCTCAGGAAAGTGCATAACCGGCTAATGAACTAAAATGTTATTTTATTTTACATTCAGAGACAAGGTCTTGCAGAAGGGTTCGACAAAAGTCAGGACCCGTAACGATCTCAGATCCGTGCCGTATGCACCGTTGTCTTGTGGAAAGGGGGCAGACATGACATTGAATTTGACCTTTGAGGTCAATTTCCCTGCACCTCGCGGCTCTTAATTTTTTTCTTTTCTGTTTCGTTGGGAGGGCTCTTGAAGCCGCTCGTCTAAATGCCGACCAGAGGCAGCGAAGGATCTGCGGGGGATGGATGTTGAGCCACGTGTACCCCAGATCAATGTGGGCACGGTGCCCCCTGCGTGATATCACGATTGGGATGTCTGTTCCCAGGTTGTTAAACGAGCAGGCAGAAGGAGTCCGCGAGCACAACACAACGAAAACTCAACACATTCGTTCGTAGCGTTGTGGCCGCTAAGGGAAATAATAAGAGGCAACGTTTCGGGCAACGGCCCTTATTCATAGCGGAGAGATGGGTCTGCCATGATTTATCCGTGATAGAGAAGGGTCATTGCCGCAGCGTCACCGATTATTTTTTTTGGTTTTTCTCACGAACAGTCTCCTTGAGCAATGTATTGTGGGCTTGTTGTTGTTGTTGCAGCTGTTGGTGCACAGCTTGGGCCACCTGCTGTAATCGACCATTACAGTCCGTTTATCTGTCTTTGAGAGTAATGTAACAATTCATGAGTTGGAATCCACTCTGAACCCCCCCCCCCCCCCCCACCTTCCTACATCTCTTTACTCTTTCATCAACGCACCCTGAATCCATCGACTGCACTCGGAATCCACTGGATCTGGCCGCTCGACAGAATCGACGGAATCGATTTCTCGAGATCCGAACATAACGCTAAACCCTCGGCAACACGACGAGCGACTTCCATGCCACGAGCGTTCCGCGCTGCCGCCGCTCTGCTATTTGAGCTTGCTCGGTTTGGGGTTGCTTGGTTTAGGGTCGCTCACTGAGACCCATATCCAGCCCACGGGCGTGGGATTACAGCGCGTTGCGAACCGTCGGCAAGACCTGCAAATATCCGGCGCTGAATTATGTACAAAATGAATTTTTCAAAAACCTAATGACCCCCCCCCCCCCTCACCCCACCACCCGCCTCCTCTTTTCTTAAATCTCAATTAATTGTCACAAATCTTGACTTAAAGCTTTCGTGACTGCAGGAATTCATATTCATTGGGTCTTTTTGTAAAGTCACGTAGATCGGTTCAAAGAAAATAACAAAAGAACCAAAAACTACGACGTTTCGATCACAACACAAGCGGTCGCCCTCCGTCGCCTCTCAGGCCCTCGCCTCCACCACCACCACATACTACCCTGTAAGAATCGCTTCAATTTACGTCGTTTCGATATTCGTCATCGCACCTTTCAGGAACGCATCCCCCCCCCCCCCCCCACCGACGTAAAAAGGGGCATTGCTTTCAATCAATTTTCACCGAGCGGGGTGAGTGCGCATGTTGCAGTGTGTCGAGCAGAAAACATCGGTACGAATCGATGAATCCTCCATGACGATGCTCCTACTGCTCTCCAACGCCCATTACATGATTCATCGTCTTGCCCTCGTCGAAATGCATCGCCACGGAAGGGGACACAGCTGCATCTAACAAGCTGGACCCAAAGAGTGACCAACGTAGAAGTGATAAAAAGGCTGCACAGAGAAGACGAGCTGATGATGATGATGATGCAGGCAGTGATGAGAAGGAAACTTCGGCACTATTTGGGCACACGTGCAGGATGGACAACCACAGGAAATTTAAAATAGTGCTGTTTGGGAAAAGTGTAAGGAACCGGAAAGAGAGGAAGACCGAACAGAGAATGGCTTGAGAATTGTTTTTTTACCCTTTTATCTGGCAACAAAACTGACACCTTTTTTTACGAGGAGTCATGTTTGCATAGACCACAATACCTGCAGTCATAATGCAAACAAAAACATAACTCTGATAATGTATGCACTGTCCTTGAAGTTGATTGGTCCACACCCGAGACAGCTTTCCTTAGAGCCTAGTCTCACATGGTGTTGGACCAGATGATGCCAAAAGGCGTCATCTGCATTATGACTGCAGGTATTGTGGTCTATGCAAACATGACTCCTCGTAAAAAAGGTGTCAGTTTTGTTGCCAGAGAGAAGGGTAAAAAAACAATTATCATATTTTTTACTGGCAAATGAGGTTCCAATGGTGTAAATGCTTACCCCGAGATCTCATACTCTGATGGTGCATTGTCTTTGAGTTGTGCGCCTTTTGGCGTCATCTGGTCCAACCCATGTGAGACTAGGCTGTAAGGAAAGCTGTCTCGGGTGTGAACCAATCAACTTCAAGGACAGTGCATACATTATCAGAGTTGTGTTTTTTGTTTGCATTATGACTGCAGGTATTGTGGTCTATGCAAACATGACTCCTCGTAAAAATAGGTGTCAGTTTTGTTGCCGGATGAAAGGGTAAAAAAACAATTATCATGTTTTTCTGCTGGCAAATGAGGTTCCAATGGAGAGAATGGCTTGATGACGACATCACAGAAAGATAATTGGTGCCAGAGAGATGTGGCCACTCCTTGAGAGAATTTATATTCTTAGGTTTTTTCGGTAAAGTCACGTAGGTAAAACATCAAAATTAGTAAAAATAAAATAAAGATCACGACGTTTCTGAGGCAGCACAAGTCTCCGTCATCAGGTGGGACCGTCACAGCCAGATTAGCTGCATCAAGTGAGGCAATGATTCAAGATGTAATCCCTTAAAAGCGAGTTGAGGGGGGAGGAGAGGGGAGGGGAGCTCATCAGAATGTGGTAGCCAATGAATGGAACGTATCGGGAGGGAGGGGGGCGGGGCCAAAAGGGTGGGCGACGGCGTGGAAGCGATTGTGCGCAAGAGACAAACTGCTGCACACGCCAACGCATTGGACAGAGAGGGGGGAGGGGGAGGCCTGATACACATGATACAAAAAAACGGAAATGCCATTGTTTATACCAATGCTGGCTGAACAATGAGCAGCCTGAACTCGCTTTTAAGGGATTACATCTTGAATCATTGCCTCACTTGATGCAGTGAATCTGGCTGTGACGGTCCCACCTGATGACGGAGACTTGTGTTGCCTCCGAAACGTCGTGATCTTTATTTTATTTTATTTTTATTAATTTTGATGTTTTACCTACGTGACTTTACCGAAAAAAACCTAAGAATATGAATCCTTGCAGTCACGAAAGCTTCAAATCTTGAGAGAATTGGCAAAATACGGACGAACGTGGAAAGGAATGACCAAATGTTGCAGTGGACACCCCGCTACGGGCTATCTGGATCGTGATGATAATGATGCCCCGACGAGGGACCTCATTGACCTTCACCGTGGCTTGCTCTGTTTTCTTTGGGTCATAAACCAAATGTTATTGACGACGGCCAGCTGGTGATTTGGTAGTGGTGGTGGTGTCGTTATTTTATTTTGACTTAAACCTTTCGTGACCGCAGGAATTCATGCTCTTTGATTCTTTCGGTAAAATCACGTAGATAGAAAAAAACATTATAATAAAATTCATAATGCCGAAAGAACCAAAGAATACGTTATTTTATTTGTGCTTGTAATGCTCTGCCAACAAAAGTCTCTTAATTGGTTTGTTTCTCTCGACGAGCTCCGCCCCAGCCGAATAACGAGGCAGATTTATTGCAATTTTATCCCAACGGTTTTTTTAATATAAATGTTTTTCTCACTCTCTCTCTCCTTTGCGCAGGAATCCACGAGTTCCCAGAAGACATCTTCAACAACGTGCAGCGCCGGCATGGCGCCGTGTTGCTGCACGTGCTGTGTGTGAGTAACCACCACCCCCACCACCCACACCACCACCCCCACCATCACCACCACCACCACCAACAGCTCCACATCACCAACAACAACAATTGATCCACCAACAACACCGCCATGGATAGCAATGCCGCCACCAACAGCAGCAGCAACAGCAGCTCCAAAGACAAAGATCCCCCCCGTGTATAGCCTTAATAGACTAATGGGGCAAGTGCTGTTAGCGAGTGGAACCTATGAAGGCCGGCGCAAGGCACACGAGGGGTGGGTGACAAGCACCACCCCAGCAACGGCTCCGCCACCACTGCTACCACGAAAGATGAAGATGCCCATATTCTACTACCACCACCACCAATAACAATGGCAACAGCAACAACAGTAGCCCCACCAACAACAACAGCTGTAACATGAACGTCTGTCTGTCACCACCTCCACCACCGTGAACAACAACAGAAACTACCATGACCACCACCACTACCACCAACAGTAGCTCCACCAGCACAACCGCTGCCACCACCACCACCAATAACAACTGCACCATCAACACTAGCAACAGCAGCAACAATAGCTCAACCACCACCATGACCACCACCACTACCACCAACAGTAGCTCCACCAGCACAACCGCTGCCACCACCACCACCACCACCACCGATAACAACTACACCATCAACACTAGCAACAGCAGCAACAATAATAGCTCAACCACCACCATGACCACCACCACTACCACCAACAGTAGCTCCACCAGCACAACCGCTGCCACCACCACCACCGATAACAACTGCACCATCAACACTAGCAACAGCAGCAACAATAATAGCTCAACCACCACCATGACCACCACTACCACCACTAGCAACAACATTAGCTCCAACACCACCATGGCAATCAACAACAGTAACACGAGCAGCACCAACACCGCGAAGTCGCAGAGGCAGCCTCAATTATTTAATAAATATCTATACCAATTCAATGGATGCTGATGCTTGAGCAGATTTTTCTGACAGCCTGGATGAATATATTTTGTGAATAGAAATTAAGAAATAAAAATGCCAGTGTGTCAAGTTTGTTTTTCGTTAATTACGCTTGCGCACCACTGCTAACGGAGCAGCATCACCGAATGTTTTTCAAAAGTAACGAGCATCGACCTCGCGTGCAGATGACTGAGGAATCCGAGGGCACAGGTTCACCAAATCCCATACAACGGATAAGCGTGTGGCGTTAGAATTTCTAGTGCGCGCACACGCTACAGCTCTTCTTCTTGGTTCTTTCGGTAAAGTCACGTAGAATTGAAATAATAAAATAATAAAAATAAAACATAATAAAATAATTCTCACGACGTGTCGGCCACAACGCAAGCAGCCGTCCTCAGGTGGAGAACAGGTCTGTCGGAAAGACAGCGTCTGAATGACAGGCCCCAGACGCTGTCTTTCCGACAGACCTGTTCTCCACCTGAGGACGGCTGCTTGCGTTGTGGCCGAAACGTCGTGAGAATTATTTTATTATTGTTTTATTTTTATTATTTTATTATTTCCATTCTACGTGACATTACCGAAAGAACCAAGAAAATGAATCCCTGCAGTCACGAAAGCTTTAAATCGCTACAGCTCTTGTATTTATTTTCATTCGTTGGTGGGGGGATGGCATCTAACACTTACTGGAGTTGACAAGCATATCTCGAATTTCCTTCTCACCATTAGCATAGGGCTGTTTTGCCACTCGCAGCTTAATTGGCATGCAAAACAGTTTTCTAGTCTGAGTGTTCTTGGATACATTTTGTATCTTTATTTACCTTTTTTCCGGTAGCCTTTTATGGCTATGCAAAATTCTGGCCTACGCAAAATTCTGGCTTACTCGAATCCGGCTAATAAGAGAGGCTTTACTGTGCAGAACATTTACGTTATGGGACCTCCCTTGCCAGTATAAAAATGTAAGAATAGGTTTTACCCTTTAAAAAAATTGCCAGAAAGGGTAAGTCCCATGATGTAGCTTCTCACCCCGAGCTCTCAATGTCCTGATAGTGCATTGTCTTTGTGTTGTTCACCTTTTGGCGTCCTCTGGTCTAACACTGTTTGAGACGAGGCTCTAAAGAAGTTGTCTCTGGTGTGGACCAATCAGTTTCAAAGATAATGCATATAGTATCAGAGCACGTTTGTTGTTTGCATGTTCACCACGGGTATATGTGGTTAATGCAGACATGATTCCTTGCAAAAAGGTTGCGGTTTTGGCGTTTAAACATCTTAACACAGCTGTTGTATTGCCAAGAAAGGCTAAAACCCTATTTTAAAGCATTTACCTTAGTTGATTGTATGAGAGTGTCGCCATTCAATATTTCGCAGCATGTCCCCTCCCTGCCTTTACCTGCTCTGGTGTTTGTTGCAGACCATGTACATGTTCTACGCTTTGGCTATCGTTTGCGACGACTTCTTTGTCCCGTCGCTGGAAAAAATCTGCGAGGTAAGGACAACGCGTTAAACCCAACGATCATTCGTTTTTCTCTTCGCATTGCAGCGGAGGGGAACATTTCTACTGAGTGCACCCCCACCCCTACCCCCGTGGCCCCACTGCCTTCTTGTTGGGTTTTATTTCCCACGGGTTGTAATTAACAGAGGCGGTGTGTTCTCTACGCGCTCCGGAAACGTGCCAAATGGGAACCGCAAAATGGGAGATAATGCTCATTAGCGCTATTAACGAGAAGTTGGACAAACGGAGCCGCGGGGATGTGGCACAATCACAGGCCGTGCTGTTCTGCCCCTCTTGCCGCACGCCTCTGTTTGTTAAGTGGAGCCCATGAGTTTTAAATGAAGGCAAAGACACAGATCCCCCGTGTAACCCTGAGCAGACTGTTGGGGCAAGTGCTGTTAGCGAGCACCTATGAAGGCCGGCACGGTACACGAAGGGGTGGGTGGTCAGAATCACGTTCGGCCGCCTTTGTATCCCTCATGGCGATATTTACTATGCACCACACCAGGTACTCATTTGAGGCTGAGTCGACCTAGGGCACGCCCAGGAACGGTTCAAGTTATCGTCACTGGTGTTGGCCGTGAGCGGGAATCGAACTCGTGTTGCCGGGTTCAAAGCGCAGCGCATTAACCGCTACACCACCACGCACACACGCACATATGCACACACGTGCACACACACACACAAGCGCACACACGCACGCGTACACACACACAAGCGCACACACACGCGCACACACACACGCGCACACACACACGCACGCGTACACACGCAGCCGAGGCAGTGTAAATCTCGAATGTGATTGCCGGGCGTCGCAGTATCAAGTGTAAGGACCGCCCCGGCGGCTCGGCGGTGGAGCCAATGGCTCACAAATCAGAAAGGCTGCGATTAGTCATTTGTTTATTTTGGGTCAATGTCATCGCCCAGGTACAATGCCAAATTTTAACTCCAACCCTCCATCACCCGACAGAGTAAATCAAATCAGGTTGTCCACACCATGGGCAAATGTGCCATTTGGTTAAATGGTTCTTCAGCAAAACAGCCAAGGGAGGAATTGTTGAAAAGTGAGCCAAATGTTGACAATGTTATACTCGACATTTCGCTGGAGATTACATCCAGCATCATCTGCTCTTGCGTGAAAGGTTCCGAGTTCAAATCCTGGTCGTGGGGGGGTTGATTCGGTCCACCATTCCTTTGGGGAAGTCGAGCGGTTTTCCAATCAAGAGATGTGAACACCCCCCCCCCTCCTGCAACCTTGTCATAGGAACGTGGAATTTCCACCACTGTTTCAGAGTCTGTAAACAAGACATGAGCACCACTCTTACTTGCAGCAAATCACTTTTACAGAAGTAGTGTTTTTACCGCGAAGGTAATTGGGTTTTGTCGGAGCTAATTTGTTTGCAGCTCGTATCGCGAACCGGCGTAAAGCTTCTGGCATTGGGTCCCCCCCCTATGCATCATTTATCAGCCGCTGAAACTCCTGGTCTTGGCAGCTGAAAGGCTCCGATTGAAGAACAATTCCGTCGCTTTGTTTTTTTTTGCTTGGGAAGCGCTTTGATGTTACGTAAAAACAACGACGGATTAGCAAAAGCGAAAAATACAAATGCATCCAGGAAACAGCACGGAAGTGTGCTGCTCATAACCGTCTTTACGATTTTGGAATTTTCAGCAGCTAAGTCCTTTAGTCCCATTAAAATTTTAATTTTCTTAGCAAATGCAGTTCTGTGCGATTTGCATCCGAATGCATTTCAATGTTCGCTCTCAATTTTACCGAAACTCTACAAACGTTCCCACCATTCATGTTAAATTGCTTTAATTACTAAAACTGCACACACGGAGAGAAAATTCAAAACATTTAGCACGAACCAAAACACTTGAGAAACCAGCTCGATTATTTTGCGCCGTTTCCTCTTTGCCAGCCAACTCTCTCTACAATCTTCCTCTTCTGTCTCTCTCTCTGCCCCCTGCTGCTCTGTGCTGCCGAGCTTAACAACTCGGCCCGTAGGTTTTTGAGCCGTCCTTCTGTTGCCGGTCACCCTCACCCTGAACAGTCTCCCGGTTCTGCATTTTCACCGATCGAAAATACCAACAACGCGAAAATGTACATTTTTTTTTACCTTTAGTTTTAAAGATCAACGGCAAACCACGACACGGACTTCTGACGCTAGCATAGTTGAATTAATCTGCTGGCCCATCCCCTGACCCTCCTGCGTAGATCGTTAATCCACGCACTGCGACCCGCGTGTCACCGTCGGCGCGTGGCATTCGCACCCCCCCCATCTCCTCCACCTCCAGTGCACCCGCGCGTGGCGCTCGCTCGCCGGTGGTGACGCTGCGCAGGAAAGGGTGGCAGCCCGGCCGTCCGCCCTCCCGCGTTGTGCCGCGACGACCTTGAAGGAGTCGTTAATAATGCATCGCCCCCCGCGCGGCACCATGACCTTGTACCCCCCCCCCACCACCACCCCCTCCCGCCCGCCAGCGCCTGCACTTGGACGAGGACGTGGCTGGCGCCACCTTCATGGCGGCCGGGAGCTCGGCGCCGGAGCTCTTCACGTCCATAATCGGTATCTGCTCGCGATCGCAGCAATTGCCCACGGTCGTGATTCCGCGGGTCGTGATTCGTGGATCGTAAATTGTGGGTCGTAATTCATGGGTCTTAATTCGTGGGTCGTGATTTGTAGGTCGTAATTCGTGGGTCGTAATTCGTAGGGCATAATCATTGGTTGCAATTCATAGGTTGTGAGCCAGGCTCAGGACTTTGAACAAAAGTGGTTGAAAGAAACAGCATTCCAGCACCGTGTGACACTGCTGCTATTGCAATAGTTAGCACGCCGCACTTGCGAGTGACGGGCACGATGGTTCGATCTCCCGGAGCTGCAGTTGAATCAATGGGCACGTGTTTTCGTGGAGGGGTTAAGTTATGGGTGCGGTTAAGTGTGGGTTCTTCTACCTCTTACAAGACGCCTGGCCAGCCTGGAAGAAGAGGCCAAAATGCCACCTTGGAGGGGAAGGCCGTCGAGTGCTCCTTTATAGTGGAGGAGGCCCTTCCGGCAGCAGTGGACCGAGCAGGACATTTTAGGGCTGCACCTTGACTTCTTACCAACGCCATGGTGATAAGCCGCATTGCCCCAACCATTCTACTCTAATTTTATTCCAATATTTTTGTTATAAGCAAAGCAAAAGAATAAACAGCATTAAACAGGCCTATGAACGATGTTTAATCGCCTCGGATGCATGTCAAGAATATTTTAAATATATTGCCGGCCGCCTCTGATTACCACGATTCTACGCGCGGTATCATGCCGGTGGGTGAATCTCAGCGTGCTCAAGTGCCGGAGGAACCCCGCGCTAGAGGTTTTTCACAGGACTTCTAAAACTTATTTCTCCGTGGCCTTTCCATATCCTGCTGTACATTCTGCTATGAGATTGTTTTTGTTGGGGTTTTTTTCCCCCCGCTCAGCAGTCAAAACAGACGTGTTTTATTCTCGGGAGTTGGGATGTAGATACGTTAAGTGCAAAACTAACTTGAAAGCGATGGGTGTTTTTTAAATTGTGTGTGTGTGTTGTGCGATTGTTGGACTGAGACTATCAACTCGCCATACCCAAGAGCCCAGTTTCGTAACAAGTGGCTGAAGTTGAGATGTTAACCCCCTCGCCCGGTATGCAGGTGGTCGTAGGTTTGATCCCGACCCTGACGCCTGCTGTATATTTGGAGTTTGCTTGTTTTCTCTCTCCATGGTTGTGTGGATTTTTCTTCGGGTCCTCCGGTTTTTCCCTCCACATTTAGAAACACGTGTTTAGATATTTGGCTGCTATAAATTTCCACACGATAAGCCACTTCGTTGAGCTACTATTGTTGGCCAGGTCACTTCTGAAAAAGAGCTACATAGCTCAGTGGGCCTTATCTGATCAAATAAATAAATAGTGTATAGTTTAGAAACCTGGATCTCAGTACCTCAACGTACTGACTTCTGGCCAACCCATGCACAGAAATAATTAAGCCTACCTTACCATGATGAAAAAATATAATATGCTGTACTCTTGCTAGCGATAATACAAGAGGTGTTAAGATGTTCAAACAACCATCACAAGGCATCATTAAGTCTGCATTAACCTCACGCATCATGCTTGTGGTAAAACATGCAAACAAACATGCTCTGATAACACTATGCAACACAATTTTTGTTTCTGTGTAGTAAGTGTTATTTCGTAATTACTTATGCCTAAAAAGTATATAAAATGGATATTTTTCCCCACAAACTTTGCTTTTGTGACCAGGACAGTCATATTTTGAAATTACCTATTTTCAATGCTAAAACGGGCGAATTTGTGTCTTTTCGTTCACACAAAGTCAGAAAAAACAACATATGAATAAAAATGACCATGTATTTATACTGAAGTGAAAAAATGACTACAAAAGATTTACAAGTGAGTAGTTATTCGAGACTTATGATTATACTGTAAATAACTTTCACGAATCAGCCTCCAAATGTAGTCTCCCATCATGTTCACTTACATTGTCCTTGGTAGCGGTGGAAGCGTTTGCCTTGCTCCTCCGAGTATGCTCCCATATTCTCCTTGAATTTATCAAGATGAGCATCAAGGATATGGACTTTGAGAGACATCCTACAGCCTATTGTGCCGTAGTTCATCACCAGAGTCTCAACCAGCTCCACATAGTGTTTGACCTTGTGATTGCCCAGGAAGCCACAAACCACTGTGACAAAGCTGTCCCAAGCCGCTTTTTCTTTACTAGTAAGCTACTTGGGGAATTCATTGCACTACATGATCTTCTTTATCTGTGGTCCGATGAAGACACTGGCTTTGACCTTTGCCTTAGACAGCTTAGGGAAGAAGTCTTGAAGGTACTTGAAGGCTGCCGACTCCTTATCTACAGCTCTGACAATTTTTTTCATAAAGCCCAATTTGATGTGCAGTGGTGGCATCAGCACCTTCCAGGGGTCCACCAGTGGCTCGCACTTGACGTTGTTCCTCCCCACAGAGAACTCAGTCTGCTGTGGCCAGTCCCGCCTGTGGTAGTGCGCCTTGGTGTCCCTGCTGTCCCAAAGGCAAAGAGAGCAGGGAAATTTGGTAAAACCGCCTTGAAGACCCATTAGGAATGCCACCAATTAGAAGTCTCCCATGACCTCCCAGCCGTTCTCATCATACTTCAAGGCATCCAGCAAGGTCTTGATGCTCTTGTAATCCTCTTTGAGGTTCACCGAGTGAACCAGGTGAAGAGACGGGTAGTTGTTACCATTATGGAGCAGCACGGCTTTGAGGCTCCTGGATGAGCTGTCAATGAAGAGGCGCCACTCATTCTGGTTACAGGTGATTCCGATTGCCTCGAACAAACTGGTCACATTGTGGTAGAAGCAGAGCCCATCTTGACGGGTGAAGAAGTTGCAAAAAGGTTGGTGATGCTTCCTCTGATCTGCGACTTGCACACTTTCATCCAACAAGTTCCACTGCTTGAGCCTAAACGTCAAAAGTTCGGCATTGTACTTGGTGAGACCAAGATATCTGATCAAGTCGTTGAGGTCTTTTTGGTTGGAGTAGTATGGGTTTCTCTCCTCAGCTCCACCTCTGAAGTTGTCTTTCAGATCTACAACATCTTCCTCGCTCTCTGACTTGCTGCTCTCTTCTAAAGAGAGCTCTCTCTCTCCGGAGGAGTGGGTACGGGGAGCTCATGGCAGTATGGCACCGGGGCGATAGATGAAGGAAGGTCCGGATACGTGACAGGTGCATTCTTGCCAGTCCGACGTTTGGAAGGGTCCAAAGTAGCAGTTGCTTGAGTGGGTCAGTGGGCTCCCGCCAAATTCTTGGGATAGCGAACTTCATGGCTCTCTTTTCTCCTCTGTACCATCCTATAAAAATACATTTATTTCACCCATGACTAACGTGTAAGAGATTCTTGCAACATTTTTCACGTATGATATCTTTTTTTCAATAACATTTCAAATTGTAAAACATTTTTTTTTATGTACATATTTTATAACATCTTACCTTCCAGAGTTTGTTTGCATTGCACGCAGGTGAAATGAGGTGCCGACAGGCATGCCGAAATATTCCTTGTAGGCCTCGCACATCTTAGCAGATGCTTCCACAAAGTACTTTTTCGCTCTTGTCTTGATTAATTGGCCGCAGACATAGCAAAATGCGTCTGTCGGATGCTTGCAGCCTCTTGATGCCATCTCAGAAAAATGCAGATATGTAGCCACTTAGGCAGCTGGAACTAGATTTATACTACTATTTATATTACTATAAAGTTCTAGAATGTTCTAGAAGTTACTCCAAGTTTACTCGGCACTGAATCTATCTGGAATGTTCTGGAAAATAGGTCAATTTAAAAATATCACTGTCCTGGTCACAAAAGCAAAGTTTGTGGGGAATAATAGCCATTTTCTGTATTTTTGAGGCATAAGCAATTGGGAAATAATACTTATTACCCAGGAACAAAAATAAATAAATGTTACACAGTGTCATATATGCATTGTCTTTTGACCTACAACAGAGACCGCCTCCTTTATGGTCTTCTCTCATCAGTGTTAGTCCAGATAACTCCAAAAGGTGAACAGCACAAAGTCATTGTAAATATTAAACATTTATATCTCGGGTTGGTGCGATACTGTTAGAGTAGATCTATAGGTCTCTTCATGAGTCTGTGATTCTCTATGTGAGTCTGTGGTTCTCTATGTGAGTCTCTGGGACTCTGTGTGAGTCTGTGGGTTTCTGTGTGAGGCTCTGGGTCTCTTGTGAGGCTCTGGGTCTCTATGTGAGTTTCTAGTTCTCTTTGTGAGGCTATGGATCTCTGTGTGATTCTGTGGGTCTCTGTGTGAGTCTCTAGTTCTATATATGAGGCTATGGGTCTCTGTATGAGTATGTGGGTCTCTATGTGAGTCTCTGGGACTCTGTGTGAGGTTGTGGGTTTCTGTGTGAGGCTCTGGGACTCTGTGTGAGTCTGTGGGTTTCTGTGTGAGGCTCTGGGTCTCTGTGTGAGTCTAGTTCTCTATGTGAGGCTATGGGTCTCTGTATGAGTCTGTGGGTCTCTGTGAGTTTATGGATCTCTGTGTGATTCTGTGGGTCTCTGTGCAAGTCTCAGCACAGATGGTGGGGATGGGACTATCGGGGCACGATCTGGGATGTCTCCTTGTCTCTCGTGAGAGGTCTTGACACCAACGGCTTTGGTCACAATGACGTATTGATCCTTTTTGATCTCGGTTGGTTGCGGTGAAAGAAAAGTGCAGCCTCAAAATATCTGCACCATGCCACGATTGAGGTCACAGATTGTGTCAATTCAGGCCCTGCAGAGCACTCATAATGTCTGTATACTTGTATTAACTGCCCTATCCAGGCCTGACCCACTTAACTTCGCCTCCACGTATTTTCTGCATCACCCACCTCCCAAACTGAACGTGACCTGCAACTGTCAACCCGCGAAATAATGAGGTGCGCGCCGTACTTATCGCCGCCGCAGCCGCCGCCACCACCAACAACAATGTTTTTGCCGTCAGCATTGCGAGTTACGGATGACGGTGGGGGGGGGGGGCAGTTGTGGCAGTGTCCGTCGTTTGTTCATGACGGTTTCTGGATTCCACAGAGTTTAATTTAAACCCTCGGGAATTTAGAAGCCAGGGAAAATAAACCAGTTTGTGGAACTTTTCGGAGGCAAAAATAATATGTTGTGGAAACTTCAAATAAAACACAACAAAAAAACCCTCACATATGAAATTGGGCACCAGTTTAAAAGAATAACTGAGCGAACGGGTACGATTTCCCAGGTCATAATTATAGATTTTTCTCTGTTGGGTTTTGTTGATGAAAGCCAAAAAACGTACACCTTCAAAAGGGATGGGAAGACTTCCTTTGAGACAAAGCTATTTACCTCCTACTTAAAACCATCTGGTGATGATGGTTGAGTGGGTGGTTGGGTGAATAATGGAGTGGGTGAGCGAGCGAGTTGTGGTTGTTACCTGCCACTGTTAGACGCGTTGGCAAGATGTTAACTACCTCGCCTGGTATACAGGAGGTCGCGGGTTCGATCCAGACCCTTATGCCTGCTGTATATTTGGAGTTTGCGTGTCTCTATCTCCTCGTGGTCTGGTGGCTTTTTCTCCGGGTCCTCCGTATTTTCCCTGCACATTTCGAATCAACATCACGCATTTAGAGTTTTTTGCTGCTATACATTTCCACGTGATAAGCCACTTCGTTGAGCTATCATTTGTGGCCAGGTCGCTTCTCAAAAAGCGCTATACAGCTCAATGTGCATTACCTGGTAAAATAGAAATAGTAGTAAATAGTACCGTAGTAGTAGTAGAATGTAGGACTTACTTGCACCTGCACCTAACTTTTTCTGGCTCCACTTGCTCTCGGAATATATTTCCACAGTTGTTTTGCTTATTCTCGTGTGTTCTGTTTGCGGCCGTTAAATGTCTCGTTTGTTGGTTGTGCGATGTTCCGTAAGGTCCCCTCTTAGTTGTTCTCTACAATAGTTCTGTTTTTGTCACTTTTGTTTTGTTGCTGCTGCTGCTGTGCTCACGCACCATGGATCTCCCTTGTAAAACAGCCAGGCAGCTGGATAAGGGGCAATAAGCCGTGTAACAAATCCAATACACTTTAACTTGCAGCCTGGTGGTTCCGGAATGTGTCTGGTAAACAAGAGTCCTCCACGTGGGTGCAGGAATCGACGAGTGAAGCTGTGTGTACGTACGTTGAACTTCTTTCGCACCGTACGTTGCCAACCCTGCTGATTGGAGGCGCACTGGAACAAATAACCGTGCTCGAAGCCATCGAAGAGCGATACGGAGGTGACTGACCGCCGGTGAGGGAACGGAGTGAATCGGTGAGTGCTGGACCATCAAACCGCCTTTAACCTGACTGCTCGTCAAACGTCTGCCCCCACCGCCCCCCCACCCCCAGGTGTGTTCATCACCAAGGGTGACGTGGGCGTTGGCACCATCGTGGGCTCGGCCGTCTTCAACATCCTCTGCATCGTCGGCGTCTGCGGGATCTTCGCAGGCCAGGTGGGCACCCTGCCCACCCCCCCCCTGCACTCCGCCCGTAGTCTCGTCTCCGCCCTGCTGTCCTCGCCATCGTCATCACCATCACGATCACCGTCATCATCACCGTCGTCATCACCGTCGCTCTCATCATCTTCACCGGTATCGTCGTCAACATCATCGTTGTCACCGTCATCGTCATCACCGTCATCGTCATCACCATCACCGTCATCATCACCGTCATCATCACCGTCATCATCATCACCGTCGCTCTCATCGTCTTCACCTTTGTCGTCGTCACCATCATCATCGTTACCATCACCGTCATCATCACCGTCATCATCATCATCATTACCATCACCGTCATCATCATCATCATCAACGTCACTGTCATCGTCAGTCACTGTCATCGTCAATCGCCGTCAGCCGCGATCTCTCCGCGGAGCGGTGAAGCGCGTGTCCCCCCGGTGGCGAGTGATTTCCAAACTGATGGCTTTGGCAAAGAGTTGGCAACCCAGCTGGTGACCTGTGCACGTGATGAGCAAGACGGGTTTGTGCAATGTGCTACGAACCCCTGCGTGAAAAGTGGGCCGAGCCTTGCCCAATCCTGGCCAGCTGGCTCCAAGACTTAACTCGCCAACTCGCCAACTAAAGCCCGTGCGCGTGTCCACCGCGACGCGCACACAATCCTCCCAGCCTTGCCCAGACCACCGCCTCGAAAGAGGCGACCGGGTGGCCGTCGTAAAGTTTTAGGCCACAAAGTCAAAGAGGAGGCGTAAACGGAGTGGGGGTAGTTGAGGGGGGGGGGGGTGGCCTGTTAATTTGTCGCGCCCGCTTCCTTGCAGGTGGTGTGCCTCACGTGGTGGCCCATCTGCAGGGATTCCGTCTACTACACCTTCTCCGTGATCGCCCTCATCCTGGTGAGAGCGACGGGCACGGCGCTCGCTCGCCAACACGGCTGCCACCCCCCCCCCCCTCGCTTGAATCGCCTCGCCTCAGCGAGCGTTTCTTTCACCTTGGGCGACTTAAGATTTTATTTTACAATAATTATTATATTGCGGTTTGTTTTTTCGGTGTTTCCCCCGCCCCACCCCCCCACCCCCCCGAGCGTGTGGTGGCGTTCTGTTTCTGCCCGCCCGCCCGCGGGGCCGTTTGTCACGCTGCTGCCACCTGGGGAGGTTGGCGTATCCCCTCTTGCGCGTGGCGCAAATCGCGGCCGTAAATATTCTGGCCCGCAACTCGCCCCATCGTCTGCGATAAGAGCTCGTGCTATAACCGCGTCAGGCGACGTGCGGAAAGCGTCTCGTTCTGAACGCCGCGGTGTCGCACGGCACGTCCAACACCTCCTTGACACAAGTCGCCACGAGTGCTCCAGCGCTCGTCGGGTGTGGAATGCTGAGCAGTGGATTTTTGAGCCTGCTTAGGGCTTCGTGTGGGTGGCGACCTGGGCTTTGCCGGGAGTTGTAGGAGCAGGGGTGGCGGGTCAGGGCTGCGAGGTGGCCCAGACGTGGTGGCGGTGTTGAGGTGTCACCACCCCCTCCCCCCCCGTACTCCTGTGTGTGGGATTGCTCCGGAGTTTCTCAAGTCTCCTACCCACGTGAAGCCAAAACACTCAACGTTTGTTAGGTGCAGCCTCCCAGCTCTTGTCAACGCTTACCTCTGGCTCATTTGTGCTAAGGGGAGAGCCCCATTGCCTGAAGCGTCTCGCCTATTTTATATTTGCATTTCAATTTTAAGGTCACACACGGTTTTCGTTAGAATCGGCCAAACATTCCCAATCCAGGAGCCTCCTGAACACGGGTCTTGGGGAACTCTGTGAGGCGTTCCTGGGTCGTTAATTTACATTGTAATTATTGTTACTATTTTTATATATTTTTTCCTCGTGACTTTTTTTTGTTATGTTTTGCATATAATATGATTGTAATGTTTTCCACTGGTCCGTGAACAGAGCCTTAATTTTCCTTCAAGATTGTTGCTACTTAAAAAAACACATTTATGTTTGGGTTTTTTCTATCCTACGTAATTTGGCTATGCAAAGACGAGTGCGTGGCTTGTAAATAAATAATGGGCGACATCGGTGGTCGACACTCAGACACGCATTTCAATACAGCTCTCCACATTCAGCATTAACACCGCCGTACGACGTCAAAACATATCATCGGCTGATGTTTTAAGGCAATCTCCAAACTGCAGCGAGAATGCGTGTGTGCGTGTATTTTAATGTTGGCCCATTGGGAAGCAGGCAGGTCGTGCATCTGCCAGTCATCTCGGTCGGCCCTTAACACCCGGGTCTGTCCCGTGACCTCCTGCCAGCAACGAGCCTTCCGCACTTCACGTGACGGCCTCAGAGTACACCTAGCCTGGCACAGGCGCCGTGGTGACATATCCACCACTTAGTGGTGAACAGCGGCTGCTGTTGTCGTATAATCGTATACACGCACGTATACGCATACGGAGCGTGTCTGCCAGTTTAATGTTTGAAAGATTTATCACTTTTAAGCAGTAAAAATGTGGATATTAGTCATTTTGACCCAACGCAACAGATTTTATGACCTGTTATGTCTATATTGTATAGCAATAGAAATATTAATTGACACGGATTGCAAAATCTTGGCACACAGGATAATTATTACATTGAAGGCAACAATCTGCTCCGAGTCCTGGTTCACCTTCACAGATGTGTCTGCCTGCTACAGATTCTGGCTCTGGAAAGGCACGTCAGTTTAACACGTAGGCTATCGCGTTTGTAGATGTTGTGGATTTGCTCTCCAACATACCGGTGTGCTGTACTCGTAGCGAATTGGTTATGTTCTGTTTACGTGACAAACCTCGCTTTTTGGATGTGTCGGGTGGTGGCGGGTTTAACGACACATTTATATTTACGTGATCGAACCCCCAAAAAAACTACATTATGGAAAGACACGTGTTAGTGGTTTGGATTAAATACTAAATATATTTATAATTAAGGAACCAGATTCTTCGTGCATGCATAGGCACACACCTCAGATTATCGTAGTTTTGCTATGTACACTGTGAAAGAAGTTCAACATACATACTGCACTAAAACTCTCTGCATTTATCATTCACACTGCCTCATAACATGGAGATTTCTTAGGAGCTGACGATTCAGGCATTGGCCCTTCTTCAGCGTGAATCTATGTGTGCATGTGTGAGAGAGATGGGTTTTAGATTTTAAAACAATTTGGATTTCCATATTTTTGGGAGATTGACATCACGTGAATAATTAAAACAACGTCGCGTTAACCCGAGTGACGTCACCGAATGCTGCGTGATGCAGGTTTTGGCGGGAAAGGCACAAGAGTGACTTCTTATAGAGTGACATTTCCTGCGACATCTTCCTATGACATAATATTTTCGGATCCGTCTAAAATCTCGTGCCTTGGCCCAATTTTCACACTTTTTAGAAAAGTCCGAAAATTGGGAATACATCTCGCGGGGTTGTGTGTGTGTGTAATTCATCTATACATGGCGACCCACTTACAGATGGCCCTCTGATATTCAATCGCCCGTTTATTCTCATCGGGCGATTGAATATTGTGAGACCCATGGCACACCCATCATCCAGCAGTGGAGGAGGGGAGGATTGGTGGATCACACACAGATGTTGTGGAAAAACCCCTTCCCATGGGTGTCAAGGAGGTGCCATATCCTGGCTTTCCAGGAGACTGCAGTACAGCAAAATGTGGACTCCACCTGTTCCATCTGCATGATTGCCACCTCACACCCCTGTGGGTTTTCTCCACGTGCCCCGGTGTCTTCCCTCATGTATAAACACTCATTAATTGGCCGATAACACCTTAATATATGGAGGACCGCAGAGCTTGGAGGAAAGAATCTGGGACTGGCTGGTTACCTCCTCGCACCCCGGATTAATTTCCCTCTCTCTTCACGAGTGAGCGATTACCGTGCGGCGCATTAAAAGTTGACATGATTATTATTAGTATGAATATTGGGAGAGAGTTAAAACATTTAAAGCTTGTGTTGAGACGGGTGGGGTGGACGTGTGGAGGCTTTGAAATCACGTGCTTGTTTTTCTCCGCAATTTCTCCCGATGTATTTAACTGAGGGCCTCTATCAAATGTGTAACCACATGCATATTACCGTGAGCAAATCTGCCAGTGGAATAAAAAAAAAATCCACTTGTAGACATTAGCACATTACACTGGAATGGAATGTACATCCCAAAATAATTTGTGTGGTTATTTTCAGCAATTTAAAAAGCGAATCGTATACATTTATATTTTGAAAATCCCAGATGGTGGTTGTTGGACCTAAACGCGTTGGGAGCACTTTTTTTGTACGTGGGTGCGCTCTGCCCGTTGGGATTGTACAAACGCCGTAACAGTAATTGCGACCCAGATTGCGAAAATCTCGTCAAGCGGGGAACAGAGTCCACAGTGTTCTCTTTCGCAGCTGTGATAGAATTAATAATTAACACCTCTGCCTACCGCAACATATATATATACCCATATCAATCTAGGGTTCAATAAGGATTTTTTCATTGCAGCACATCCAAAAAAAATGCGCGTGTTCATTATCAGCAGGCGACACGTGCAATGTCATCAGTTGTATACATTATATATATATGCACCGAAGCTTATTGGAATTATATTGCTCTGCAGGTTTGAATTAACAAGCTTTCATAAATATTGCGAGTGAGAAAACGTACAAACAAGCTCTGATGTTTTGGCCGGAGATGCGAATGTTTTTTTTTTGCTACCGCGAATGGCATTGTGACCTTTCCCTCTCTCTGAATCGGTATTGATGACATTTGGCTTGCCGTGTCTTTTTGTTAATCCTCTCGTCGTGGATTTGTCGGCCAGCTTTTGGAAACATTGAGGGGGGAGGGGGTGGGCGGGGGGGGGGTGGGGGTGGGAAAACCCTCACAAAAGGAAGTGGCATTACATTCCTACCGAATAATGATCTTGCCACAAACTGGAGACGCTAATTTCACAAGTGTGATTGGCTTGAGAGAGAGCCGTTTGTTTTGAAGGGCGATGACAGCCCTAGTCAGTTAAGTCGATGTATGCAGCATTATCGTTACTTAAAATGCATTTACAGAATAAATACGACTACAAAAGTGGGGATGGGAAGGAAGGTAGGTAAACATTTTTTTTTACAGTTTCATGAATTGCGTTTAAATTGCAGTTGTATACTGAATGTCATCTGTTCTAGTGGTAGCCACTGCGCTATGAAGCCGGCGACATTATTTCAATTCTTGGCCAAGATTAAAGTCATTGGAGAATGATATCTAAACCGGTCCTGGACCCTGAACCGGTCCTGGACCCCTCTCCCACCACCACCTACATCCCCTAACAAAGAAAAAAATCCCCCGTGTAGCCTTAAACAACCGTTGGGGCAAGTGCTGTAAGCGAAGGCCTATGAAGGCCGGCATGTCACACGAGGGAGTGAGTGACCAGCACCACGCCCGGCCGCGTTTGTCTCCCCAGTGCTGATATTTACACACCGCACCAGGTACTACCTCCCCTACTCCCCCCACCCCACGCCCCCTACCCCCCCCCCCCTTCAACAACCTGAATGGCTCCAGAATGTGAAGTATGGTCAAACAACCCCCATAATTGACATAGCGTTAGGAAAGCCTTCATCCAGTGGTGGATTAACAAAGGGGTTGTAAATTATTAGTATTGTTATTGTTACGTATAATTATACTGTACATGCACACAGAGACTTGCTCTTTTTACTTGTGTATAAAAGTTCGTGCAATGTAATTGTGTCCCACTGTGTTGTTGTATTTGAGAAGAACTGTAATTATCAGCCAAACAAAATGAGAAAGTGATGTCTCATTATTCACGCTGCCTGGTGACTTTTTTGTCTAATTTCCCCATTGAGTTTTGTTCCGCACGGAATTGTTTTATTTGTTTTTGTATGTTATATGTAC